CCAAGATCTGCTCTGTGGAAGTGGAAAATTTATGCTCATATTTCTTCATTTGAAAGATATGCAGAAGGGACTGAGATCAGCATTGCTAAAGAAAATTGCTCAATAATGTTGTCACAACCAGACATATATGTATAATCCATTATACAGCCAGGCTGTGTCTTATGAAGCTTATAGTGAAACCTATAGACAACAGAGCCTCCCAATACTTCACTATCACAGAGGTCTGAGACAACACAAAGTAGGAGAATCTGCACAAACTGTTAACTTAGGACCAATTTTCCAAAAGCTATTTGGTCCTCCAAGGCAAGTAAAAGTGTGTGAATTATTGAGCAAATTGAATTGAACTTTGTGAGATTGAATCAGTCCAGACATTTTAGAACTCTATCAGAGAATGCTATGAGCCGTTAGAATAGGAGGGAATCATTACCCTCAGGAAGGTGAGAAGAAGATCAGAAATTTGTATCTCATTTCAGCTTAATATTATGAGAGGTTTTTAGGATTCTAGAGCAACCTTGCGACGATCTCACAGAGCTGCTCCTCCACTGGGCATAGATAGCATAGTATGGGTAGAATCAGTGATATCAGTAGAAAACAGAAGATAGATAGAGTTCAGAGAATAGTCTCTTAACGATGAAACAGTTAGATTAGAACCTGGTATATCTTAAATCACCAGGCAGGAGAGATTCCAGTACTAAAATACAATGAACAGTATTCTAAAGAAGCCCAAATCTGTAAACAGTGTTTGATCTTTCCTCAATAAAAATCAAAAGAACTGTGGATGCTGTAAATCAGGAACAAAAACAAAGTTGCTGTAAAAGCTCAGCAGGTCTGGCAGCATCTGTGAAGGAGAAAACTCTGTTTTTTCCTTCACAGATGCTGCCAGACCTGCTGAGCTTTTACAGCAACTTTGTTTTTGATCTTTCCTTGTCTTGAACACAAGCTCACCGATATGTACATAAGATTACGTGACAAAATCCTTAACGTTCATAGCAAAAGTTTCTCCAGGTCCATTGCCAAATCAGTTCAAGTCTACTTTGGAGTTTGTAATCCACCTAGATCAGACCTGGAAGGAAGATCTCTGTTAGCATTGTGCTAATCAGGGATGTTATCCCAGATTACAGGAAAGGAGGATGGACATCTGACTCATCATCTTGAACCAGGAGAAGCTTTTTGATTGAATACTAAAACACCTACATGGGAGAGGAATTTAATTAGATCCGACTGCTCTGCACAATCATGAGCCATGCAGCTTCAATCAATAGGTGGGAAACAGAAAGTTTCTGATCAAAATTTGTGTCAACAAAGGCAACCCTCTTCTCTCTGTACCGACCCTAAACACCAGCAACAACATGAATAAGATCAGCTGACTGAAACTGCTAGATTTATGCCTCACTTCACGTTCAACAGACAGATATACAAACAGATCAATGGCACACCGATGGGATCACCCATCTCAGGTCTCATCGTGGAAGCAGTGAAAAAGAGAATAGAACATACAGTCCTTCCGATAATCCAACTGAAACTGTGGGTAAGGTATGTGGATGACACATTTGTAATAATCAAATGCACAGAAGTAAAAGAAATCCACCAACTTGTCAACAACATCTTCGCAAACATAAATTTCACTGGAGAGGAAGAAAACAACAAACAGCTCCTGTTCTTAGATGTAATGGTAGAGAGACTGACTAATGGCGAATTCCAGACCTGAGTATACAGGACGGCCACACACACAGTCTGAATCCTTAACTTCAAAAGCAACCACCCCACCATGCACAAACAAAGCTGCATCAAGACACTATTTAAATGAGCCACATCACACTGCAACACTCCAGAACTCCGGAGAATAGAAGAGGAACAGCTACACAAAGTTTTCACCGACAATGGATATGTAAGAAGTTTCTTCTGCAGATGCCTACAAAACAAACGACTGTCAAAGTATATAGTGCAACAGAAGACACTAGCAATGCTACCCTACATCAAAAATATATCAGAAATGACTACCAGACTCTTAAGACCGTATAAAATCATGACTGCACACAAACCTACATCAACACTAAGCCAAATGTTATCAAAGACTAAAGACCCCATAACGAGACCAACATGATATACAAAATACCATGCAGCGAGTGTAATAAGCATTACATTGGACAAACAGGGAGGAAACTGATGACCAGGGTACATGAACACCAGCTGGCAGTAAAAAGACACAACCAATATTCAAGACAACAAGGTGCAGGGCTGGATGAACACAGCAGGCCAAGCAGCATCATAGGAGCAGAGAGGCTGACGTTTCGGGCCTAGACCCTTCATCAGAAAAGGGGGAGGGGAAGGGGGTTTTGAAATAAATAGGGAGAGAGTGGGAGGCGGATAGAAGAGGGATAGAGGAGAGGATAGGTGGAGAGGAAACAAACAGGTCGAAGAGGCGGGGATGGGGCCAGGAAAGGTGAGTGTAGGTAGGGAGTTAGGAAGGGGATAGGTCAGTCCAGGGAGGACGGACAGGTCAAGGGGGCGGGATGAGGTTGGTCGGTAGGAGATGGAGGTGCGGCTTGAGGTGGGAGGAGGGGATAGGTGGGAGGAAGAACAGGTTAGGGAGGCAGGGACGAGTTGGACTGGTTTTGGGATGCGGTGGGGGGAGGGGAGATTTTGAAACTTGTGAAATCCACATTGATACCATTGGGCTGCAGGGTTCCCAAGCGGAATATGAGTTGCTGTTCCTGCAACCTTCGGGTGGCATCGTTGTGGCACTGCAGGAGGCCCAGGATGGACATGTCGTCTGAGGAATGGGAGGGGGAGTTGAAATGGTTCGCGACTGGGAGGTGCAGTTGTTTGTTGCGAACCGAGCGTAAGTGTTCTGCAAAGCGGTCCCCGAGTCTCCGCTTGGTTTCCCCGATGTAGAGGAAGCCACACCGGGTACAGCGGATGCAGTATACCACATTGGCAGATGTGCAGGTGAACATCTGCTTGATGTGGAAAGTCTTCTTGGGGCCTGGGATGGGGGTGAGGGAGGAGGTATGGGGGCAGGTGTAGCACTTCCTGCGGTTGCAGGGAAAAGTGCCGGGTGTGGTGGAGCTGGAGGGGAGTGTGGAGCGGACAAGGGAGTCACGGAGAGAGTTGTCCCTCCGGAAAGCAGATAAAGGTGGGGAGGGAAAGATGTCTTTGGTGGTGGGGTCGGATTGCAGATGGCGGAAGTGTCGGAGGATGATGCGTTGGATCCGGAGGTTGGTGGGGTGGTACGTGAGGACGAGGGGGATTCTTTTTTGGTTTTTATTGCGTGGACGGGGTGTGAGGGATGAGGTGCGGGAGATGTGGGAGACACGGTTGAGGGCGTTCTCGACCACCGAGGAGGGGAAGTTACGGTCCTTGAAAAACGAGGACAACTGAGATGTACGGGAGTGGAATGCCTCATCCTGGGAGCAGATGCGGCGGAGGCGAAGGAATTGGGAATAGGGGATAGCATTTTTGCAGGAAGGTGGGTGGGAGGAGGAGTATTCTAGGTAGCTGTGGGAGTCGGTGGGCTTGAAATGAATATCGGTTTCTAGGTGGTTGCCCGATATGGAGACAGAGAGGTCCAGGAAGGGGAGAGAGGTGTTAGAGATGGTCCAGGTAAATTTAAGGTTGGGGTGGAAGGTGTTAGTGAAGTGTATGAACTGTTCGAGCTCCTCGTGGGAGCACGAGGCGGCGCCGATACAGTCATCAATGTAACGGAGGAAGAGGTGGGGTTTAGGGCCGGTGTAGGTACGGAAGAGGGATTGTTCCACGTAACCTACAAAGAGGCAGGCGTAGCTTGGGCCCATGCGGGTACCCATGGCTACCCCCTTTGTCTGTAGGAAGTGGGAGGAATTGAAAGAGAAGTTGTTGAGTGTGAGGACGAGTTCGGCTAAGCGGATGAGGGTGTCAGTGGAGGGGGACTGGTCGGGCCTGCGGGACAGGAAGAAGCGGAGGGCCTTAAGGCCATCTGCATGGGGAATGCAGGTGTAGAGGGACTGGACGTCCATGGTAAAGATGAGGTGTTGGGGACCGGGGAATTGGAAGTTCTGGAGGAGGTGGAGGGCGTGGGTGGTGTCACGGACATAGGTAGGGAGTTCCTGGACCAAGGGGGAGAAAATGGAGTCGAGATAGTTGGAGATCAGTTCGGTGGGGCAGGAGCAGGCGGAGACAATGGGTCGACCAGGGCATTCAGGTTTGTGGATTTTGGGAAGGAGATAGAAGCGGGCAGTGCGAGGTTGGGGAACGATGAGGTTGGAGGCCGTGGGTGGGAGGTCACCTGAGGTGATGAGGTTGTGGATGGTTTGCGAGATGATGGTTTGGTGCTCAGGGGTGGGGTCATGATCAAGGGGGCGGTAGGAGGAGGTGTCGGAGAGTTGGCGTCCGGCCTCGGCGATGTAGAGGTCAGTGCGCCATACTACAACTGCACCTCCCTTGTCCGCGGGTTTTATGGTGAGGTTGGGATTGGAGCGGAGGGAGCGGAGGGCTGCACGTTCTGCGGGGGAGAGGTTGGAGTGGGTGAGAGGGGTGGAGAGGTTGAGGCGATTGATGTCTCGACGGCAGTTGGAGATGAAGAGGTCGAGGGAGGGTAGGAGGCCTTGGGGTGGTGTCCAGGAGGAGGGGGTGTGTTGGAAGCGGGAGAAGGGGTCAGTAGAGGGAGGGTTAGGTTCACGGTTAAAGAAGTAAGCGTGGAGGCGGAGGCGGCGGAAAAACTGCTCTATGTCCAAGCGTGAGCGGTATTCGTTGATCTGTGGGTGGAGGGGGACAAAGGTGAGCCCTTTACTGAGGACTGACCGTTCGTCCTCAGTAAGGGGTAGGTCTGGGGGGATGGTGAAGACTCGGCAGAGCTGGGTGCTGCTGTCTCCTCTGGAGCTGCTGGCTGTGGAGGTGGGCGGAGCTACGTCGGCGTCGGCTGTGGGCGGAGCTGTGTCGGCGTCGGCTGTGGGCGGAGCTGCGTCGGCGTCGGCGGTGGGCGGAGTTGTGCCGGTGTCGGCGGTGGGCGGAGTTGCGCCGGCGGTGGGTGGAGTTGCGTCCGCGTCGGTGATGGGCGGACCGGCGTCGGAGGTAGGAGGAACGGGGTAGGCGGCGGCAGTAGCGGTGAGGGTGGTCGCGACTTCAGTGTCGGTGGCAACGGCAGCGATGGTGCTTGCTGTCCCGGAAGTGGGGAACCCGGCGGTGGCGGATGTGACGTCATCTGTGGGTTCTCCGATAGTGGCCTCATGGCCAATGGCGGCGGACCCATTGTGGAGAAGGTCCTGGGTACGGCTGGGGATTTGGGGGGTGGAGGAAGCCCGTTTTGGGTGGTAGGCACCAGTAAGTTTACTGTACTTACGGTTTTTAGTGTCCAATAAAGCTGAGTAGAATTGGGAGTTCAGGTTGTGGATCCTACGTAGAATAAAAAACAGGAGAGGTCCTTTGCAGGTCTGGGAGAGGGAGGCTCTGAGCTGGGGTAGGCTTGATTGTAGTGCCTGGAGATGCCGGCGCATTGCTGCAAGTGTGTGTTTCAGGAGTCGCAGGGAGAAACGCTTCTGAAGGATCTCAACCCCATGAGTGTAGATATTATCACGGTTGGGGCCAAATTGGGAAGGCTTGAATGTGGATTGTAGTCCATTGGGGATGATCTGGTTCCGTAGGCAGGTGCTAAGGAAGGTGATGTGGCTGTAGTACCTGGTTTGCTTCAGGACGTGGTCGAGCAGTTTCAGGGCCGAAGAGATTACGAGAGAGTTGCAGTGGGATTCACTTGTCTCAATACACACAGACAATGAGGGCCATTAGTTTGACAGGGACAAAGTGACCATACTGGGACAAGCGAACACCAGAGATGCAAAGGAATTTCTGGAAGTCTGGTTCTCAACAAACACATAGAAATAGACACCGTATACAGACCACTGCTAAAACAACAGAACCAGAAGCGACAAGCTCATTACACCAGAGGATTATATAAATCCGGAAGGAAGCAGAACACCAACTCTTTGATTAGAATTCACACTGATGATGTTGCCTAGATGGGTAACGAAATATCTGCACACCACAAAACAACTGCCTCGGTGAGCTAATGAACAACTGCATCCACAACCTGACCTACAAATTGTCACTGAGACCTTAGTTACCATCTCCCCTGAGGCATTTCTGAGGTTTCAGAACTGCTGGCCCTGGAGCTAGCTGGCACAATTAGGATCCCATCCACTAACCTTAACTCTATAGTTGACACACTCAACACTCAATTAGAGAGGGTGCACATGGTAAAATTGCTGAGTGCATCCTGCTGATCTATGGAGTGCAGTCTCGAGGCCCTTTAATACCCCACCGCTGGGGTCTCATCTTCTCTTTGAACCCTATGTGTTACAGGGAACCTTTTTCTTTACAAAGAGCTTTCTATTATTTTGTTGTTACCTACACCTAGGATAATGACCACATTGATTTTGCTACTGTTACAGAAAAATAACACTGAAGGTGGCCTGAATGTTTAATGCTGCTCCCTTGTGCTACGCAAAGTGCTGTTTTATCCATTGTAATGCTGTTACACGATGTATTACAAGGAGGAGTAGATGTGGCAGCCACCTGCAAAATCTGCTGAGGGCCTACTTGTAATTCAGCGAGCAACTTACCTCTGCTTCTGATGTACCAACAGTGCTGAATGTGCACTCAGAAATAACCTGTCTTATTTCAATTGCAGGATTCAGAAGGCTGGTCATGCTTCTTACGTCATTAGTCCTTGGGGCACATGCAACCACTCACCTTTTCCCATATATCCACTCAGACATCTAGAGGTTGACTTTCTAGCAGCTGCTGCTTCACCAAGCTGCAGACAGTTATGTGAACACGAAGCTTCCAATTGACTTCGACATTAATGTTTATCAAAAATTAAGCTCGATAAAACCTCTCAGGTTTTGGAGCCCATTATGATAGAATGTACTAACTGTTTTGTTCACAACTCCTGCTGTTTCAAAGTAGTTTGCATATGGCATATGAAATTATTCTGGATGTTTCTGAGAGACGCTGCCACAATGGAAGCCTGCACAGCTGGGTCACAGCACCAATTTGACTGGTGGTGCTAATTGCGAGGCTGTCACTGGGACATAGGAATGGTAGCTTGCCTCTCTAAGTTGCCGGTCACACCAGGGAATTGGTAGCTCTGCAGCATCAGCAGCAACACCAAGAGAGTTGGTGCAAGGGGGTAAAAGAGGCCACCTGCAAATTGAAGCCAACTCGCAGACAAGGACAGAACTTTGTCGATGTGCAGGCGCAGGCCCAGGTCAATACAAGCTACACGGCGCTGCCCTCCCCACCCCCCACCCCAGCCCACCACAACACTTCCAAACAACTAGTGATGGTCACAAGGCCAAAGGAGAGCCATTACTGCTGGATACCCACTCTTTAAAAGGCATGGAGCTTCTGGAAACACAAACCCTCATTAGAAACCGTTGCCCAACACAACATGGAAGAATCCCCATATGCCAAGGTGTCTCTTGGGCACAACTAAATTGCTGGCAGCTTGGTAAAATGACCATCACTGGGCCAATTAATTGATCACCCACCTCTTAGTAGAGTCAAGTTGCTGCCATTCCTACTTTCTGGAATCTCTCCTGACAGCAGGAACACATCAGGCTTCCCTCCAATTACTTTTGCTGACGTTTCACCATGTCTTCCATCTTCCATCCCATCAGTAAAGGCCCGAGAAAGTATTGGACATGCCAAAGCACTGTGTACATATCTTCCTTGGGAATTACTCATAGAAGACGTTTCATCTTCTTCCCCACCTATCCACCCTATCCTTCCCACCGCCCAATCCCCACTACCCCGTACCTGCATCCACCTATCACCATACCACTTACCTTTCCTGAGCCCCGCCCCTCTTTTCTCTATTTATTTCTGAGCTCCCTTCCCCCTCCCCAGTTCTGAAGAAGGGTCCTGACTCGAAATGTCAACTTTCCTGCTCCTCTGATGCTGCCTGGCCTGCTGTGTTCCTTCAGCTCCACACTGTGTTGTCTCTGACTCCAGCATCTGCAGTTCATGCTATCTCTAACTGCGCTAGCTGACTGCCCGACTTCTTAATATCCCTCCTGCCAATGCTGCATGCAGCTTAATGACAATGTACAGTGCTAAGTGGCATACCATTCTCAACTGTATTGCAAACTGTTTACTTTTCAGATTCGGTAAAGAAGCAAGGAACTGTTATGTCCTCTGATGCTGCTGACTTAACTTTCTGACTGCCTGACCTTGAAATTTGAGAAAAATGGTTGAGTAAGGTCTTTGACGATAATAAGTTTCTTCTCAGGACTGGATCGCTGTTACTCAGACCTACCACTGCTTCTTTACTTTCATAAATAATAAATCACCCAGCACTTCCTTCTCTAAGTCAATGGAATATTCTCTACTTGCCTCAAGGATAAATGATACTGAATGCCACAGTTAGACATTGCTAAGAGGGACTGATTCTGCTCCATTTATTCTGACATATCTGTAATAAGAAGAACTGTGTGTATGATAAGTATGTACACACAGCTAGGCTTGTCATTCAGATACAGAGACTGCATGGTACATGCCATAAGGCAGAACCATTAGCAATTTATATCTTCTGAAACACATTGTATAGATATGATCCAATTGTACAAATGAGTTAATATGTCATGGAGTCATAGTGATGTACAGCACAGAAACAGAATCTTCAGTCCAACTCATCCATGTCAGTCAGATATCCTAAATTAACCTATTCCCATTTGCCAGCATTTGGCCCATATTCCTCTAAACACTTCCTATTCATATGCCCATCCAGATGCTTTTTAAATGTTGTAATTGTACCAGCCTCCAATACTTCCTCTGGCAGCTCATTCCATACATTCATCACCCTCTGCATGAAAAGGCTTCCCCTTAAGTTCTTTTTAAATCTTTCCCCTCTCACCTTAAACCTATACCCTCTAGTGTTGGATTCCCTCACACTGGGGACAAGACATTGTCTATGCACCCTATTCAAGCCCCTCATGATTTTATAAACCTCTATAATGTCACCCCTTGGCTTCTGAGCCTTCAGGGAAAATAGTCCCAGCCTATTCAGCCTCTCTTTATAGCTCAAACCCTCCAAATCTGGCAAAATCCCTGTTAATCTTTTCTAAACCCTTTCAACTTACACAACATCTTCCCTACAGCAGGGAGACCAGAGCTGAATGCAGTATTCCAAATGTAACCTCACCAATGTCCTGTACAGCTCCAACATGATCACCCAACTCCTATTCTCAATGCACTGGCCAATAAAGGCAAGCATGTCATTTGTTATAGAATTCCCTTCCATGCCTTTGGGCGGCACGGTGGCTCAGTGGTTGGCACTGCTGCCTCACAGCGCCAGGGACCTGGGTTTGATTCCACCCTCGGATGACTGTCTGTGTGGAGTTTGCGCATTCTCCCCATGTCTGCATGGGTTTTCTCTGGGTGCTCCAGTTTCCTCCCACAGTCCAAAGATGTGCAGGCTAGGTGGATTGACCATGCTAAATTGCCCGTAGTGTTCAGGAATGTGTAGATTAGGTGGGTTATAGGGGATGGGTCCGGGTTGGATGCTCTGAGCAGCGGTGTGGACTTGTTGGACCGAAGGCCCTGTTTCCACACTGTAGGGATTCTATGATCTATGATCACATGGGACAACAACTATGTGTTGCTCCTTTCTGTTCGGATCAAACTAAGTACGCATTGAATGAGGGAATGGTTTGGGTGGTGCCATAGAATCATAGAACACCTGCAGTGAAGGTAGACCCTTGAGTCTCCACCAATCCCCTGAAGAGCATTTGCTCCTGCACCTTCATTAAAATTGTACTCCATATTTTATATTTTGTCTTTCAGTGTTCTTCTCATCACCTTGCACTTCTCGGCGCTGAGCCTCACCGACAACCTATCCCCTCACTCACTAACTTGTCAATAACCTTTTGGAGTTCCATGCAATCCTCCTCACAATTTATAATCCTTCCAAGTTTAGTATCATTTGAAAACTTGAAAATTATCTCCTATACACCAAGATCCATGTCATTACAATATATGTCAGGAAATGCAAGGGTCCCAGTACCGACCCTGTCGAA